GGAGGTGGTAATAGTTGATTACCATTGGCCACAGTGCCTACCCACTACTTTTTGGTCCAATAAATATTTTTTTATATACATACATGCAAACATACTGGTCTCCCCTCTCACTGAGTTAATCAGTTACCATTTGAACAACAAATACTACCAAGTTTTAAGAGACTATTTAGTGCAACTCAGGTCAAAAAAGCGCACTTTAGACCAAAATAAGCAACTCTAAAAAACAGATCTATTGCTAAGATATCTCACTTGTATTTGTACACAATGATTTTTTCTCTGGATTCCGTCAGAAATAATTATGTGAATAATGCTCCTATTCGCAGAGCTCTAAACGAGTTTAATTCGCTCTTAAACTCTTCTGCTATCGATTTCTCTTCTTCCAAATCTAATTTCAAACTACTTTTAAATAGTACGCTAAAATAGTTATCAATTTATACTTTGTTTTATCGGATAGTCTATACGAAATGTTTATTTTCTAGATTAAATAAATAAATAAATAAAATGTACAAGTATATAGAACTTCTCCAGTATGAGTTGTCATATGTTCCTAAAAAATTAAAATACCCAACAAATATAAATGGTTTCAAAACCAGAATCTTTTCACGACTGCGTCTCGGGCACACCACACAAACCCACGAATACATCTTAAAAAAGGAAAATCAATCAATTTGCACCACCTGTAACACAAACCAAACATTAGACCACATCCTCAACAATTGCCAAAAACACTACAACACCAAAAAATCAATATTTAACACAGATAATATAAACGACGTCCTAGCTACCCCTAGCTTTGCTAATATTGAAAATATCTCCAAATTTATCAAAGATATAGAAATGACAATCTAACAAACACACCCTTAAACACCAGTCAACTAAGAGCTGATGGTCTCGGCAGCCAATGCTCAAAAAGATTATTTAGTGTTGACATTCATACCAGCATCTAAATAATAATAGTAATAATATATACTAACCTTGCTACTTTCACGGAGGATTGTGTTGCTGCGTTGCAGACGTGTCTCTAAGTTGACGCAGTATACACAGACTTTTCAAAGGCGTTTGATAGAGTTTCACACAAGGTTTTGATCAATAAGTTATCGCGTTTCGGTTTCCGTTCAACTTTCCTTGAATGGATTCGTTCCTACCTTCCCAACAGGTGTTGTACAGTTGCCATCGATAATATACTTTCCAATCATTTTGTTGCCACTTCAGGTGTCCTTCAAGGTAGTATCTTGTGTCCTCTCTTATTTATCCTATTCATAAACGATGTTGGGTCATGCTTTCCGTCGTCTAACAGGTTTATTCTGCACGTTACCGAAGATTTTGTAACCGGAAAATTGTATTACCAAAAAATGTTACCAGTTCTTGTCACCGCGATTCTAGGTACGTTGGTAATGCAGTTAAAATATTCAGCAATTCAGCTATGAAGAATTGTGCAAATCCTGTCATTGCATATTTCATGGGGTAATAATTTGTTACAAGCTTATGAGATGGTAACAAAATTTACCGGTTACAAGAGTATACAGAATGCGAAAAGGGTTTAAAAACTGATAGGAACTTTATTTACCGGTTACAAACTTTGTATTACCAGCGCAGATTAGACCTGTAAGTATTTGTTATATGCTGATGACCTCAAGGTTTACTCAGTGATAAAAAACTCACAAGACGCCATATTGTTGCAATCGGAGCTCGATAGCCTACACTCATGGTGCTCTCTTAATTGTTTATCTCTGAACGCTAATTCTGAAAGATATTTAAGGGCCGGTTGTTCAATGTCTGGTTATCACTACTTGCCGGTTAAACATCATTATCGACGTTTTCGACATCACGCATATAACATGTGATCGATAAAGCACTCGTTGTATTTAACCGGAGCTTCTACCTCCGATTTGTGCTAATCAGACATTGAACAACCGGCCCTAATTCTCTATCTTTTCATGTCTCAACTATAGCAAAAAGTTGAGTAATAACGAAGATGTTGATCAAAAAAAAAAAAAGCTCACGCTCACGCTCGCATTTAACTGTATATCAGCCTTTACAGGCGAATGCTTTGCGTACGAAAACAGTTGAGTGTGAGCTTGAAAAAAAAACTTATGCATTTTAAATTAGTTTTTTTTATAATTCTGAAAGATATTTTAGTTCTCTATTGGTCAAAATAAAAAGCTCACGCCCACGCTCGCAATGAACTGTATAGCAGGCCTAAGCTTGATATACAGTTCAATGCGAGCGTGAGCGTGAACGTTCGTAAAGGCAAAGAATTCCATTTGTATTCTTATGGACGCTCACACATCTGTCGTTCACATGCGATTGCTTTGCGTACGCATTGAACTTATATCAGGCTTAAGGATTTGTATTCCATTTGATTGATTAATAAATAAATAATGAAATGAATGGCAACACTACACATTACTGTGCCCTGGCTTGTATGAATACGCCTTTGGCTGCCCCTACCACCTTATATTATTGGTTAGGGTTGCTGGTCGGGTAGTAGCAGATAATGATGTACACATTTTGGTTGAATATCGATACATTGTTTGGCTCGTTTTCTCTACACTGTCGGGCAAGTTGTTTTTAAGCCTAATTAGTTTGGTTTTAACATCGTGGTGAAGGAGTGATACTGGAGTGGATTCATTGTACTTTATATATCGAATACCCGCTATTTGTAAAACTGTATAAAGTTAAGAAAATTGTATGTTTGAATTGAAAACAAATAGTAAGTGAAATGTATATGTACTTCAGAAAGTTTGCGCTTACCTGCACATAACAAACGTATATGTATACTAGAATGTATGTATATATAAATATGCCGGCAAAAATTTAATAGAAAGTATCGGTTTCTATTTTGTTTCATAAAAATAGTTGCCTTCGCATATTTAAAAAAATTAACATTGATGTTTACATTTTTAATAATATACATAATACATGGACGCGTATTTAGATATGTATGTCTAGTTTTCATCTGTTCAGAAGGCAGTAAATGGCAACTTCGAAATTTTGTAGGAGGTGCAAAAACCTTTAAAACAAATAAAAAGGGTAATAATCCCATACTTCCTAAGATATTTCTTTCACTTTGTAGTGTATTTGTTTTAAAATCTCGAAATTGTAAAAATAAAGTTTTCGCGAAAGTTAGGCGCAGCCTTAGACATAATTTCCAATGGAATATCTGCAACTGGTTATACATGTATAAATGGAATTATATTTTTTAAAAAGTAATTAAGTTGGCCGGCTTACTTAAAAAACGAATATAGGAATGTATAGGGGTATTCTCTGAGACTTGCAAAGCCCTTGCACGGTGCACGGATTGCACGGTTTGCAAAGCTGTCCCATACGAAAACCGGTTTTAACCGTGCAAATCGTGCAATCTGTGCACCATGCAAGGGCTTTGCAAGACTCGGAGAATACCTCCTGTATTTTGTTTAAGCATTTATATAAGTTTTGTGCATTTTTTTTTACTGAATTATGCCACGGCATTGAAATTATGGTAGTGCAACTCACTTGGACGCGTAAATGTCTAGTTGTTGTTTTTGTTGTTGTTGTTGTTGTAGCGGCACTACTAAGCCCCGCCTGTTTCGGGTCAACTTTTAATCATTATCGTCAAGCTCAACTAACGGTAGGCCCAGGAAACGAGCTGTTTCGATGGGGTCGGACCAAAGGGAGAGGGGTGTTAGTTGAGTCGGATTGAGCTGGTATGTGAAGAGGTGGTTGGTGTCGTGGGGGGAGTCTCCACATGCCGGGCACTCATTTGGTATGTTTGGGTCGAGTCTGGACAGGTAGCTGTTTAGGCGGCTACAATATCCAGACCGTAACTGAGCCAGAGTAACGCGGGTCTCTCTAGGTAATTGAAGCTCCGTCTCTTCCACAGGTGGTAATTGGGCTCCGATAACGACATTCCTAGGCCTGGAGTCGAGGTAGGTGGAGACTGACTCCCTATGAATGTCGTTAATCGCTTGTCTGTACGTCATTGGGTCCAGTGGTTGGTCTGTGTGGGTCTGGACTGCGTCCTTGTACACGAATAGGTGCCCCCTGACGTGCCTGGGCGGAGGCTCCTCCTCCAGCAGTGGTCTGTTGAGTGTTCGCTTCTGTGACACCCCACCAGAAACTGCTTACAGAGCATTTTGTTATGTTCCCGTACGGGGAGCACTTGGGCTTCGCTGTGTAGGTGGTGCTCAGGCGTCATCAGAAGGCACCCAGTCGCTGTCCGGAGTGCGGCGTTCTGACAAGTCTGTAGCTTCGTCCACTGCGTCCAACTAGTCCCCGGTGACCAAACAGGCACTGCATAATTTAGAACCGGCCGGCCAATTGCCTTGTATGTTGCCAGCAACGTTTCTTTGTCTTTGCCCCAAGTGCTGCCGGCGAGCGACTTGAGGACCTTGTTGCGGCTCTGTACTTTGTTGACAACTGCGGTTGTGTGCGCGGAGAAGGAGAGCAGGCTATCAAAGGTAACCCCTAAAATTTTTGGGTTGTTCACCGTCGGTATAGGTGTGCTGTCGACGTGAATGCCAAATTATAGCCTGACCTCCTTCGTCCAGGTTGTGAAGAGGGTCGCCGTTGATTTCGTTGGGGAGAGGCTTAGGCTCCTTGTAGTGAAGAAGCGAGAAAGGCTGGAGAGACAGCCGTTTACTTTTGAGCAGAGGTCATCAATTCCATTCCCAGACGCCAAAATCGAACAATCATCAGCGTACGATATCAGGGAAACTCCTTCAGGAGGCTGGGGGAGTTTCGAGATGTAGAAGTTAAAAAGTAAGGGGGAGAGAACACCACCTTGTGGAACCCCTTGTTTTATTCTTCTTGGTTTCGAGGTTTGATCTCTGAAGATTACTGATGATTGTCGACCACTCATATAATTCGCCGACCATCGCTTCAGTCCCTGTGGGAGAGAGGAGGCCTCAATGTCTTCTAGCAGCGTGGAATGGCAGACGGTGTCAAACGCCTTTGACAAGTCCAACGCTACTAGGACAGTTCTCTCACAGGGGCGGTTACGATTTAGGCCACGAGTTATCTGGGTGTTTATGGCGTTATGGCGTCGGGTCCAATGGCTTTGGAGGCTTTCGCCTTCCCGATGGCCCCCTTCACTTCATTGCTGGTGAAAACAAGTGGTGCACTGTTTTTGGGCAGTTTGTGCAGCCTCCTGGTCACTCGACGTTTGGCCTTGTCTACCGAAGGATGCAGTGTGAATTGCCGACTAAAATAGTTCGCGCATTTCTTCGGGTCCGATGAAGCGTGACCCTCGAATGAGATTTCCACTCTGTCATCACGCTTCGTCGGGTTGGACAAGGACCTCACGTTTGACCAGAGCTTACTCACACCAGAGGTGAAGTTACAAGGCTTCAAGTGCTCTTCCCACTTTTTCCGCTTATGTTGATTTACCAGTTGCCGAATCTCCAAATTAAGGTCCCTCAAGCGAGGGTCCCCGGGGTCGACCTGCGTAGGTGGTCACGCTCATTTGCTAGTACAGCTGCTTCAGCCGGGAAATTTGGGCGGACTTCCGCGATACGTCCGGACGGTATGAAGCGAGCTGCTGCGGCAGTGACTACCCTGCGGAACTGGCAGTTTGTGGTCCACTCCCGGTGAGACCTAAGGCCAGAGCAGGTTCTTAGGTGACTCCATCCGTTGCAGGAGTTGCACCTAACCGAAGTGGAGTTCGGGTGGAGTCGATTTTGGCAAACACAGCAGAAGTAAATTTCAGGTCCTGGGTTGGGCTCTACGCCCGCCCGGAGAAGAAGGATGCGGAGCAATCCGGCTGCAAGGTATTGCTCCATGGACGAATAATGATTGGTGGGCATCGCCGATCTAAACGGGGTTAGATCGCCGAAACAACAGCCCTTGGTCGGGTAAAACCCGAGTCATTCCGGTACGTAGAACCGGCTGTCGTGGGAATTTAGTACACATCGTAAACTTACTCAATTTTGTATTGAAAATCGGTTTATTTCATTAGGATGTTTACACCCTTACGCTGCATTTACGATTTCGGATGGATAGCCATATTGTGTTAGGGTCAAAACATTGGGGCGGCGAGCAAAGCGAAGAGCTAGCATCGAGCAAAGCTTCAATTACAAACGTGTATGTACGCTTTGCTCTTCACTATGCGTTTTCACATTGAAACATATGTGTTTGAAATCGACGCTTTGCTCGATGCTCTTTGCTCGCCACTCCACTATGTTCTTACCCTTAGGCGAATGAATTTGGTGCAGCACACGGTTCGGCGAAGCGAATTTGTTTATTCGTCTTATGCTTCATATTCATTACCACGATAGCCGCTTCTACGTATCGGAATGACTCGGGCTTTA